TAGGCTCCTTCTTGCCTTGGTGCGGCTGCCTGTCACGGTGACAGGAAATACAGTGTAGCAGCGGAGACTCCGTTTTTAGGGCAGAAAAACTACCCCTCTTCTTTTTTGAACGCTTTATTGTGGTTGGGGTGAAAGCTTGCAGAGCATAGCTGTTGTCTGTTCAGCAGTTCACACACAGGTTGTTTCGTGGCTTTGGTCGCAGTCCCCTCAGTGTCCCGGCGCCCCCCCCCCCCCACATCCGCCCTGGGTTCCCTGTCTGCACGTGCCCTGCTTTCCTGCCCCTTCCTGCTTCTGAACTTTGTTCCTGGGCAAATACTGCCCTTCTGGCCTCACGTGGCTGATCGCTCTGGGGAGTATGCTCCTCACAGGTGTTGTTTGCTCGCTTTCCAGGCCTAGTTCTTGGCTGCAAGGTGATCCCTGGGAGGTTCGGTTCTAGGGTGGAAGGGTGTCTAAGGGCCATAGTCACAGGGGTTCCACCAGTCTCTATCACACTAGGAAGTCTGGCGTTGTTTATGGTTTTGAATTTTGTTCTACATTTTTCTCCCACTCTGTTCAGGACTTCCTGTTATAATTCCACTCAGAGTGGTCAGTCGTGGTAGTCGGACACCGTCTAATTCTGGTCCCAGGCTAGTGGAGGCTGTGGTTTGCATGGCCCATTAGTCCTTTAGGCTAATTGTCTCCTTGAGTCTTAGTTTTCTTTCTGTCTTGGGAGAGACCAACAGTTGCATCTTAGATAGCTGCTCACAAGCTTTTAAGACTCAGGCGCTACTCACCAAAGTAGGATATCGAACATTGTCTTTGTGGACTATGGTATGCCGATTGACCTCAGTGTTCCCCCAAGACTATGGTCCTCAGCCCCCAAGACAGTGCCTCAGTCCCCCTTTGGTTATGACTGAGAATTTTCATAACTTTGGCCCCTGTATGCTCTACTATATATATGTATGGAGATACACACATACACACACACAAACTCACACACCAAACTCACTGTCGTTGAGTTGGATCTGACTCATAGCAACCCTTCCTTGGGTTGCTGAGGCAGTATCACTATAGAAGTAGATTGCCCAACCTTCCTCCTGAGGAGTGGCTGGTGGGTTTGAACAGCCAGCCTTCTGGTTAGCAGTCAAATGCCTTAGGCACTGTGCCACCAGGGCTCCCATATGTGTGTGTGTGTGTGTATGTGTGTGTGTTTGGAGAACGTACAAATATGTATACAGAAATGTCCTCTGCCAAACCGAAACGTGTATTACCATACATTATTCCAAACCTGTTCGGCTTGCCTATCTACCTATGTATCCATTCATAAATTATTGTTTTTTAAATTACTGTTTGTTCTGGTTCTCTGGTGCCACTCTAACAGAAATACCACAAATGTATGGTTTTAACAAACAGGGATTTATTGTCTTACAGTTTAGGAGGCTGGAAGTCTGAGTTCAAAGTGCTAGCTCTAGGGAGTAGGTGAAAGCCCCTTGTGACCTTGGGCTTCAACTCTGCCTCTTGCTTCCCACCCACTGAAGCTGGAGGTTTCTCTTAACTCAGACAGCTGCTGGCTTCTGAGGTTGACAAACCCAAGGTCAACAAGTAAAATGGCACAGTCCCAAAATTATCAAACCACATGGCATGGCACTAATTCAAGTCCAGGAACAGTCCCATAATCAGCAGGGCCAACAGGGAAGGCTGCTGAATGAAGACTTGGCTACATGCAGGGTCCAAGCACACCAAAAAACTCAGAGACCTTTCTCAACACTTTTCCTTACACACTGGAAGCAGAGCACATCCCTAAGGCAGCTACTCAGCTACTCACTGCAGATTCCACCATGGAGTTGATTACCAGTCTCATCAAGGGGAATAACTACATCCAGCTGCTCAGCCACTCAAAACCAAGACAAGCTGACACATAACCTTAATACCACACTGTTAGTGCAAGATTGTGTACCTAATAGTATTTACCATTGTTACCTTTTATTGCTTACCTCCCAATGTCTTCCTCTGTCTTGGTTCAAGAAAGGTATGTGTCAGGGTTGTACCTTTTCACCATATTTCTTCAATCCGTGTGCTGAGCACACTTCTTCATATAGTACATATGAAGAAGAATGTGACATCAGGATTGGAGGAAGACTCATTAACAACTTGTGGTATGCAAATGACCCAACCTTGCTTGCTGAAAGGGAAGAAGACTAGAAGCACTTACTGATGAAGATCAAAGACTACAGCCTTTAGTATGGATTACACCTCAACATAAAGAAAATGAAATCCTCACAACTAGACAAATAAGCAACATCATTGGTCCAAATTAAGAAAAGATTGAGGTCGTTAAAGTTTTCATTTTACTTAGATCCACAATCAATGCCCATGGAAGCAGCAGTCAAGAAAGCACATGAATAACTGCATTGGGCAAATCTGCTGCCAAAGATCTCGTTAAAGGTTAAAGAGCAAAGATGTCACTTTGAAACTAAGGTGCGCCTGACCCAAGCCATGGGATTTTCAATAGCCTGATACGCATGCGAATGCTGGTTAATGGATAAGGAAGGTCGTAGAATTGATGCCTTTGAATTGTGGTGTTGGTGAAGGTTATTGAGTATACCGCAGACTGCCAGAAGAACGGACAAATCGCCCTTGGAGGAAGTACAGCCAGAATGCTCCTCAGAAGTGAGTATGGTGAGATTTTGCCTCTTGCACTTTGGCTATATTGTCAGGATGGGTCAGTCCCTGGAGAAGGATATCACGCTTGGTAGAGGGTCAGTGGAAAAGAGGAAGACCCTCAGAAAGATGGGCTGACACAGTGGCTGCACCAGTGGATTCAAGCACAGGAGCGATTTTGTTCTCACAGCGGTGCTGTGAGTCGGAGCTGGCTTGATGGCACCTAACACCAACAGTAATGGTATCTCTGTTTCTAACTTTTTAAGAAACCACCCTAGCATTTTGCACAGGCCTGCACCATTTGACAATCCCACCAGCAGTGTATGAAAGTTCCAATGTCTCCACACCCTTGTCAGCATTTATTATTATTATTTTTTTTATCATTGCTATTGCTGCTGGCCTGAGATGTTATGTCATTGTTTTTATTTGTATCTCTCTAATTGGGAACTCTGGTGGCGTAGTGCCTAAGGCATATGCCTGCTAACCAGGAGGCTGGTGGTTCAAACCCACCAGCCACTCCTCGGAAGGAAGGTTGGGCAATCTACTTCCATACTGATACCACCTCAGAAACCCAAGAAGGGGCACTATGTGTCAGATCCAACTCGACAGCAGTGCGTTTGGTTTGTTTTTTAAGAATGAGAATGAAATCAGGGGAAACTAATCAAGAGGCTCATGGCAATGATGAGG